CCTTCTATTATTATTTTATCAAAGGCTTCAATTCCATAACTACCCCTTTGATACATCTTGCAGCATGACTGATATATTCTTGAAAAATTATCCTGATCGGCACGAATCTCGAGGCAAAACCCAACCCGGAAACTTCAAAAATTAATTTTGGGAGCACCCGAACTCTGATTTCAGCGAGCTTACAGTCAAACTGAGCGTCTCAGAAATACGAACCCAACGACACCAAATTCAACTCAATCCGAGTCCAAATGAGCCCAAATCAAGCACCCGAAGCACTATTGGAAGGTTCAAACCACAATTTGAGTTACCAAACGGTCTTCGATTTTAACGAGCTTATACTCGAATCGAACGGCTCGACGAGACGAATCCAACGAGCCCAAGATCGCCAAAATCCGACATTATGAAGGCCTTCAAATGTCCAACGAACGGTGTGTGATCGAAGGGTTCAACATCAACCGTCCATTCGACCACTCCCTATTCGCCCCTGATCTCACACCTATTTACAAGCCATGCCACTCCAAAAAATCTATAAATAGAGCCCTCATTCTTCACAAAGGGGAGGCAAGTGAAGAGAAAGAAGAAGAAGAGCAAAGGGGAAAGGGAGAATCATCTCCTCCTCGACCACCGTCGGAGCTCTTCCAGCCGCCTGGATACGCTGGAACTCTGCCGGATTTTCGGGAAACGCTAGGATTTTGCAGAACTTTGTAACTTTGTGAGAAGCTGATTGTAAACCGATCGTCTTTACTTGTAAGACGAATTGGTCCTTGTACTTCAAACAAACACTAGTGGAATTATTTCATCTGGGCGTGGCCCCGTGGTTTTTTCCCTCTTCTGGGTTTTCCACGTAAAAATCTTGGTGTTCATTCTCTTTTCTGTTTGTGTGCTGAATATTCGTACAACGCTCAGACGTGAATTTACAAACTCTGCCGCCGCGTATATTCTAGCACGCAACAATGACAAATTCAAATGTACTCTTGCCGTCTCTAAGGCATCTAGCGTTTTCAAAGATAGAAAGGTTGTGTCCCTCGTGCTTCAGCTTCTTGATTTCACAAAAGTTTTGGAAGTATCTTGTAATGTTTGGGGAGTAGATATTACAAGAAATCATCTTATTGTGTTCTTCAATGAGAAGCTTAATGATACTAAACCTGTTATAAGGAATTTTATGTTGTGGTGCAAGCTATGTAGTATTTCCATCATTATCTTCATCACGAGGAGTTTTGTCTTGTATTTTGAACACCAAATTAAGGTATTTGCAATCCCAAAACATGTTGAATAGATTTTATGCAAAATGGGTTGGATTTATGCAAAAGTATTCCTTTCTTCTTAAAATAATTATGGAGTCAATAATTTCAAACACGTCTCAAACTCATGATAGATTCAAGAATAAAGTTATGGATGTATTGAGTAGAGTGTTTTCTCTTGCTTAGTGTTATGACTATGGAATTACTTGAGAAAAATAAAACATGAGTATTTAGAATGCCTAGACTTTCGTCTGGTTTACTTTGATCTGAAAGACAATCAAATGTTATTGACTTCAGATTGCATCCTTCATACTTTTTTGCCATATTTTTTTATCTAGGAGTTACATGTAAGACTTAAGGATAAACAGTAGTTCTGAATGAGAGTTTTGGGAATTTGTGATGTTATCTTATTGTTAATAGTTTAGAAAATTGAGATTTGTTATTACCAATATCTTAATTTACTTACAACAACTATTAGCACTGCATTAAATATCATCCTTCTTAACTGTTGTATGGATCACAACCTAGGAAGCCTATAGATCTCATATCATTAGTCATGCATGCATATTTTAATTTTGTTGCAATGTTTGTTTAGCATGTTCATAATTTGCATTTTTATGGTAAATTGATTTGTAAAATGAGAACTATAAAACTTGGCGGATATCCATAGGAAATCTTGAGAATATAATGAAGATGATTATCTGTATTCTGATTGTTTAAGCACAAATGACATTCTAGCATGCTGCTAAGCATGTGTGTCATTTTAATATTGAAGCAGAAATTAATGTGTATGATAAGAAGTATAAAATTATGGTAGAAGTTCATAGGAAATCTCTTGAATTTAATAAAGATAATGTGCTATTTTGTGTTTGAACACTTCCCACATAACTCCTTTAATAAACTCCATGCATGGGCCCAAAATACTTATGAAGTTTGGGCCAAATGCATATATTATTAATTTTTATGATAACCTGAATATTAGTTATATAATTAGACTTTCAATGTTGAGGACTAATTCCATATCAAGGTATTTTTAAGCCTCCAAAATTTGATTTTTAAATATTGACGATCTAATATCTATAGAGGTACTTTTAAGCCTCTAAAATTTTAAATAAATATTTTTATAAATGGAGTTTTTTCATCACTACCAGTAGAACTAATTCCACTTTTGTCTTTAACCTCGTACTTGTGCCACTTGCTGAACAAATATTGTCAAATAAGGTTATATTGGGTTTATCTAATAGAGAGGTCATCCATCATCAAATAGCTCATGTATGACTCATGAAGAGCTTTAGTTGATGATCCTGGCCTTCTAAATAAGCACTTATTGCTGCTTAATACTCCAAATGAGAATTTTTCACACCACACCCCAAGAGAATTAATGATGGTTGTTCAACTTGAGTTTATGTTCAACATTACAAAAATGATTAATTAGATATTACTTTTATTTGTTTGGCATTTGTATTATGAGAATATTTGGATTTTGTTTTATTAATGAATTCCAACCTTGCTAAATTTTTTAAGATTTATTTTCTACCAAATTTGTAGTTTCTTTATTTGCTTGAAACCTAGGGCCTTGTTTTTTATCAGGTTAGGTCAGAACATTCATTGATCAAGTATTGAATAAAATTTTATTCTCCTTTCTCTTTCTAAGCTATTGATTCTTATTCTCTCCCCCTTTCTCTATCTCTCTTGTTTCCTTCCTATTTCCTTTTTTGAAACCCTTTATTTTGGATTCAACCATAGATAGAATTTTAGTTTCAACATTATCTTAATTGCAATTATCATTTATAAAACATTTTAAATGTTGGCGCAATTTGACTTTTTTGATAAGGCTCTTTTTATGAATTAATAAATTAAGAAACTAAATACTACAAATAAAATTTCTATTAATGATTCATAGACATATAGATAATTATGGCAATACCACAACTGGAATTGTATTATCAAAATTTCAATTGTTTGATAATATTCATTATGTGCGATCTGTTCAACTTTAAAACCTTGAAACATTTTAGATTTAGAAATGATCTCATGCTCAAATTCAGCTTCATATTCAAAGTTTGACTCTTATTAATAATAATTTTCAAGAAATATTGATCAAAAGCCTTGGAGAGTAATTATAGTTTTTTTAACTCTAAAGCTCTGATTAAAAACTAATTTATTGTCTTTTGGGAATTATAGCTTAATTTATCTTTAACATAAAGTTCCTTTAATAAAATAGATATTGATAAGATAGCAATCTATTAGCAAATAATATTTGATTATAAAACCTCAAACCCGATAAAATATTCAAGCACACTTCCATCGCTTTATTTAAAATTATGAAATTGATCATGTAATTGATTCCTGTAATTAGCAAGTCATAAATATTGCTCTTAAATTCATTGCTTTGGGTATCAAATATATTGTAATTTAAAAAAAAAATTAAATTATCTATATAATATGAAAATTTTCTATAATTATTGTTTTTGTCAAATATAGGAATATAATACCTAACCTCATAATTGTCATTGTGGAATAACCTAAAATCATAATTAAATTGATTTCATTTAAATTGCATCATGTTATTATTTTATTAAGAGACTTAATTATCATATTTATATTTAGAAGAAATTATGATGCACGTTTAAACTCTAATATTAAATCTAACATAGGACTCCATAGGATCTAGGATATTTAATGCACATTTAATATCTGATACAAAATTTTATAAGTTAAAAACTCTTAATTTTAATAATTATTTGTTACTTGCAATAAAACTAAAAAGTACTAAAGCAACCAACTTAGATGTTAATCCAATAACCCTTTACTATAAATAATGCAGATAGATTTAGACCATGATAACCATGTAATTAGCTGAAAATCACAGCAACCTATATTGTCAGAAACTAATATAAAATCAATTCAACTCATCTAATAACAATATTATAATATTTAGAGAAAAAAAAAGTAAATATAGAGAAAGAATTCACCAAGATTAAAAAAATAAACATCAAGCTCACACTTAAATAGGAGATAATCTCTTCCCAGAGTCTTCTAGTCACTTTTTTAAGTATTTCAATCTAGAAAGTAGAAGAAATAACACATCAATTTAGAACATTATTCTAAAATAGAATGAGTATTGTACTTTCAAAAGACACCCTTTATGTTAAAAAATAATATAACTTGTATGATTAAGGTTTTGTTTGGGATGATTTTCTTACTACTTCTTAAAGCTGCTTTCTATTACAAAAAAATTAATTTTTTAACTAGAAATTTGCTTTATGAATCAGTAAGAAAGCCGTCCCAAACAAAGCCTAAACAATTATTTTGCTTTAAGAAGCAGCAAAGAATAAAGTTATTTCTTGAGCCAATTAACAATTATTTTGATTTATTTGTTGAGTCAATGATAATTATTTTGATTCGCTTATCTTGTTTTCATGAATTCACTAAATATCTTATGTTCCTTAAAGAGACCTAGATTCAAAACTAAGTGAGAAAGGCAACTTTGTTAGAGCATAATGCTTGTCTACAACGAATTCTTAGGGGTCTTAGCTCTCTTACAAGTAGTTAAATAGCTTTTTAAGTTGATCCTATGAGAATGAGTTAAAATAAATAAGTTATTCGCCGGTTCGGCATTTCACATGAAGGTTTGCAGATAAATGGTCAGCAATAAATCTGCCTAAATTTTATTGTTTTGTCTGAGCTCTTCTTTCATCCGAGCAGAGCCTTACAGTAAATTAATCGCTCTGTTAAAATTAATATTCTTTCAATTAGGGGAAGCTGCTAGAATTGAACAATGCAAAGGAAGGGTTTTTGCCTTGCAAGATGAACCCGAAGTTGCGCGTGTATGGTTGCCAAACAGCAATTCACCAGGCCTAGCCATGGCCAGAGCTTTTGGAGACTTCTGTCTGAAGGACTATGGTCTAATTTCTGTTCCTGATATCTCATACCGCCATCTCAGTGACAAAGATGAATTCATTGTACTTGCTTCCGATGGTGTGGGTATTTTCATCCTCATTTATTCTTTCTCCAATAGCATTCATTGTTGAGGGATTTACATGCATGCCACTTAATTCCTATATATTTATATATCTAATAATTAGTTCTAAATATTTCCTTATACAACATTTTATTCTCTAAACACACCAAAATAGTACTCTCATCCATTTTTTAATCTAGTTATTTACATACATGCCATCTTATACTATTCTATTTATATATTTAACATCTAAAACTTTAATATTACATACATATCACCCTTAGTTCATTTTCATCTCAAGTATGAGTGGTAGAAATGAAATATATGAGTGGTAGGAAAGAAATATGAATGGTATATTTGATATTAAAATAATATAGGGTGGTAGGTATGTAATATTAAAATTTTAGGTGTTAGATATGTAAATAGAATGGTATAAAGCTGAAATAGTTGTTCGAAGAATTAAGTGATATGGAAGCAAATCCCCCCTTCATTGTTTTGCGAACAAGAAACAAGTTAGCATTATATGTACAGATATGGGATGCTCTTACAAATAAAGAAGTTGTGGACATTGTGGCTTCTGCGCCAACCCGGGTCATTTCCGCCAGAGCTGTTGTTGATTCTGCAGTCAGAGCTTGGAGATTAAAGTTCCCTACCTCCAAAATTGACGATTGTGCTGCTGTTTGTTTATTTTTAAGTCCTCCACCTCCCTCATCTAGCCCAGCCAGAGAATTAGTGGAGAGTGAAGAAAAAGGAGGGCTAGTCGATGATCAATCTGTAGAACACTCTTATGCACTTCATAATTCTAATGAGATCATTCCAGTATCAGAGGACTCTAAAGTAGGAAAGACTCCTGATCATTGCCAGTCCACTCGAAGCCTTGCTGATTGCATATCCAGCACAGAAGAAGAAGAATGGTCTGCTCTAGAAGGTGTAACTAGGGTTAACTCCCTGTTAAATATTCCAAGGTTCTTTTCCAGCGACAAGCGATCCAACGGGCGAAGAAAATGATTGTAAGAAGTTAGAGGTAATACTGAACTATTTGTGCAAATTTACAGTAAGCTGAACTAATTTTTCTGAAGTCTAAATAGGTCTTTGATTGGTTCAGCTTATACTTGCAACTAATATTGGGATTGTTGCCTGTAGGTTGGTATATTGCAATGTTTCTTATCTTTTATTCTTCTAAGGCTTTTTTTTTTTTTTTTTTTTACAATTTTTAGGGTATATTATCATTTTATTTATGATGTCCCATTGCAAGTTTTACAAGCTTCTTTCTTTTGGTGGACCATTTTTTTTTTTTTTTGCTATTTTGGAGAAGAAATTGAAGTCATTTGAAATTTTGTCTAGTTTAATTGAAGTGCACATTTCATTTATTTTCCTCAGAATTTGTTTTGATCTAATAATAAATATTTTATTGGCAGATTATTATAGAATTGCAATCGAATTTCATCTTAGAAATCAAAGAAGTAATTTTCTTCACTCAAATTCACAGCATTCATACACAGCTTTAGTTTTAGTGATTTCCAGATAGTTTAGGTTTCATTTGAGGCAGTTTTTTTTACCGTTTTATATTTTAGATCTCAATCATAATTTTTATTTGTTGGTTTTAGAAAACTTTGTACTTTTGTAATATTTTTCATAAAAAACTATTTGTTTATAATAATTTTATAATTACTTTTATAAAAAATTGTAGCCATCTCAGATGGACTTTTTATTAATTTAAGAGGAAGTTTCCAAAGTCTTGTAATGGAATTTTTCCTATTTCATATTGATATTTGGACACTTAATTTCTTGAGTGCTTTTGTGACTTTCTAAGAAGGTGCAGGTCTTGTCTTTTGCATAGCACATTTCTCCTCTTTTCATTCCTATTTACATTGATTCCTTTTGGAAGGCTAATATCAGTATATTTGTACAGTAAGTTTTTGCCTTAATCCAATTAGCACTTGGTTCCCTGATTACTTTGGACTCTCATTAGTGGAAACCATTAGTATTATATTTTATTGTATCCATTATAATCTTTATGTCTAACTAATTACCACTAAGCAATAATTAGCAAAAAATAACACCTACTTAGCCCTCAGTCATTGTCCTGTAGTAGTACAAGTAAATTTTCCACTCTTGCCATTTATTTCACAGCTGCTTACAAAATTTAGCAATGCAGGTCATTATCTCCTTTGTCAACTAAGAAATCTGCTAAGAATCTCTTAGGCTTTGTTTGGGACGGCTTTTTTATTGCTTTCTAAAATGGAGTTGTAGTACAAATTTTTTTATTTTTGTACTAAAATTCCGTTTTAGAAAGCAATAAAAAAGCCGTCTCAAATGAAGCCTTAGTTTGAATAAAGTTGGAAGGGCAAATCAACTCTTTCTTTGAAAGCAAATACTATAGTACTGAAATTTGGCTTGAGTAAGGTTTCATTTGGGATAATTTTTTTATTACTTGCAAAAATGATTTTTTTACATAAAAATGTATTTTAAAAAAAAATTAAAAATTGATTTATAAAGTAGTGAGAAAGTTGTATCAAATGAAGCCCGAGAAGCACTTAAAATTTGGGTCAACTTTTGGCTTGGGTTAAAGTTTATATATAATTATAGATTTTTCTTTGGAGATTTCAAATTTATTGATAATAGATTAATGGTTAATTTGAATAATGAAAGTACGATCATATTAGCATCGGATATTGAATAGATTACGGCTTTGTTTGGGACGACTTTCTACCTGTTTCTTAAAGAAGCATTTTCGTATAAATTTTTTAATTTTTGTACTAACATGCTGCTTTAAGAATAAATAAGATAGTCATCACAAACGAAACCCAAGTGAACTAGAACCAAATTTGGCTCAAGATTGAATTAGTAAAAGCCATTAGATTTTTTTAATGAGGATAAATCTAATTAAAATGCAACCGAATGAATTTCTAATTTCTCAATTTTACTTTAAAATTAGTGCAATATTAATTGCTTATGTATTATCCATATTTTAAAAAAAAAATTGATAATTTTGAGAGTCATCTCGATCAAAATTTTTATCATAATATTATGATCTAACTCTTTTTCTAAAAACCCTAATAAAAAGGTAAGAACAAAGCAATTGGAGATCTTTTTCCCCTTCAGCATGAATTCATGAGAGCCATTTGACCGAGCTTGCTTTTCTTGTGAATGGTGTGCTGAGCATTGCAGAGCCAAAGGATAAGCATGGCACAAAGTGGAAAGGCATTTGAGTAGCAGATCAAAATGCATCTTCCTTTTTCTAAAGAAAGAAAATTGGGCATCTTATGCTGTTATTCATAGATTAAAAAAAATCATCTCAAATATTTTGATATGAATTATATCATAATAATTTTTTTTTAATTTAATATTATACATGAAAATTTTATATTACACAAATCTCAAAATAAGTCTAATTGTTTTGAGGGGTTGTTTGCTTTGCAGTATTTAGAGTGCATTATAATGTGAATACAAGATTTTAGATTTTTTTTTTTTTTTCATATTTGGTACGAAGTAAAGTAAAGCATTAGTAGCGAAGTAAAGCATTAGTAGCGAAGTAAAGCATTCTACACAACTCTCCTTGGCCTATTGGTTGAAAGCTTAGGCTTCCAACTAAGAGGTTCAAGGTTCGAGTCCTTGTGTATGCGTTGTGTGTGTGAGTTTGCCTTAAATGGCCTAAATGTCCCAAAAAAAAAAAGTAAAGCATTCTTAATTCTCTCCCTAAAATCGAGCGTGTTTCAAATACACAACATCTCTCTCGCTCGAAAAGAATCGAAATCCCCAATTGTCCTCCTGCAAGCATTCTTCCCTCCTTCGACCTCCATCATGATGTAATTTATATCAAAATATCATGACATGCTTTTATTCCTTATGAATATATCAAGAGCTTTATCATTTACGACCATTAATTATGCTGATTATAGAGGATCTTAATCTAAATTAAGAGATTTTGGATCCGAAGATTAGCATAAATATTTGATACTTTGATTTTGATTTATAATAATTGTTGCGTCCTGGAGTCTTCACGGCGGTAGAGAAATATAAAGTTTAACATCTTAGCGTTGTACGAAAATCTGGCACGCAATCAGATAAGAGAGAGGGTGTAGTATTCATGAGAGACATCAATTTTTTTACATGGAAAACCTCTAAAAAGGAGAAAAAAATCACGAGGCCTTGCCCAGTTCGAATAAATCCACTATTATTCGTAGTCGATTATGAATGAGGCCCTTCCTTTGGGGGAAGACCTTGGATTGATGTACATTATATGAAGTACATTACACTATGGTAATATAAAGAGTCACTATTGACATGTTCGTTTGGTCAGAAGGACCATAGTCGGTGGACGACGTAAGTTGGAAGGATCGTAATCGGCGGGCGACGTAAGTCGGCAGGACCATAGTCGGTGGGTGACGTAAGTCGGCAGGACCGTAGTCGGCGGGCGACAGAGGTCGAAAGGACTATAGTCGGTGGGCGATATAAGTTGGTAGGATCGTAGTCGGCGGGCACAGAGGTCGGAGGGACTATGTAAAATAGAAGTCCAGCATCAAATAAATGTCCGACGAAAATCTAACGACGGACATAATTCTGACATCGGGTAGAAGTCTGATGTCAGTCGGCGGCCTTGGAGAACTCTTGCGTTAGATGGTAATCGCGCAAAACTCTAGAGTCACTTGGAGATCGGGCGGAATTTAGGCATCGGATAGATGTCGAGCGGAATTCCAACATCACTTGGAAGTCGGGCGGTATTTCGTCATCCCGTAGAAGTCGGGCGGAATTCCGATGTCAGTTGGAAGTCGGGCAGAATCCCGGCGGTGGTCGAGGAGGAGTTTCTTCCCTCCTAATCTTCTCTTATTCCATCTCTTCTTCTCTTCTTGCTTTTTTTTTCCTTTCTCAAGAGAAATGATGGGTCTATTTATATATATTATGGAGTGGCATGACCTGTAAATAAGAGGAGGATCAAGGGCAAATGTGGAGTGGTTCGATGGACGGCCGATATTGAATCCCTTGATCATGTACCGTTCGTCAGACATTTGAAGGTCTTAGTGGTGTCAGAATTTGGCGATCTTGAGCTCGTTGGATTCGTCTCGCCGAGCCACTCGATTCGATTATAAGCACATCAAGTTTGGAAACCGTTTGGTAATCTAAATTATGGTTCGAACCTTCCAACTGCATTTCGGGTCCTTGATTTGGACTCATTTGGGTTCAGCTTGAGTCGAATTTGCTGTCGTTGGGTTCGTATTTCCGAGACGCTCAGTTTGATTGTAATTTTACTGAAATCGGAGTTCAGGTGATCCCGGATTTAATTTTTAAAGTTTTTCTGCTTGATTTTTGCCTCGAGATTCGTGCCCGATCAAGATAATTTTTTGATGACATATCAATACTGCATGAAGTGATTGACATTATTACATTAAATTTGGCGAAATTAATCTATATCATGCATTGAAGGCCCATTCCCTTGTGAAGATTCCTTTCATATATTACCTTGCAAAATATGATTGTATATATTATGTGAACATTCCGAGAAATGAAAATTCTACTCTTTTGTGGTGGTTTAAGGGTTTTTAGTATTAAAAATTGATAATTTCTATAATAATAATTTGCATAATATAATTAACTTGTAAGATTTGGATGTAAAAAGATTTATTTAGGCTTCGTTTGAGACACAACTTTCTTACTGCTTTTTAAAACAGCTTTTTAGTACAATATTTTTTAATTAAAAATTTTTGTACTATAAAATTGTTTCAGAAAGTAATAAGAAAGCAATTCCAAATGAAGCCTGAGATGGCTTCCTTATTGCTTTTTAAAGCAGATTACTAGTACAAAAATTTTATTTTTTAACTAAAATTTTAAATTAAAAAAGCCGTCACAAACGAAGTCTTAATCATATGAAGTGTCTATTTTTTGTGATTATTTGATTTAACTTTAATTTAAGTTTATAACACTGCCGTTGTCAGGTCGCAAGTTTTGGATGAGAAAACTGAAAGGTTGCATTAGGTAGTCAGCAGCCAGCGTAAAACTTGTCGAATAATAATGACATGAATCATTTAAGAAATTGTTAAGGTGAAAAAGGATTCATGTAGCCGAACCCACCTAGTGCGATAAAGGCTTGATGTTCTTGTTGTTTATAATAGATTTTAAATCAAATTGAGACGTGCATTAACCACTTATTTATAAGAGAATTAGCAATAAAAACGTTATCGATCATTAGCTCAACAAGTGTACTACTCATGCTAGCTGTGTGCACGGGTCAAAAGTGTATGTGTGTATTCCTCTTTTTGGCAATTATTGGTGTGCCAAATATTAGACCTTTTATTTTTTTTGGCCTGGAGTTATATATAATCATCTGATGAAGGCCTGTTTGGGGTAGCTTTCTAAATGTTTTGCTTTTCAAATTATTTCATATTTCTATTTGAATATTACTTTCTTGTCATTTTTTCGTTCTATTTTTTAAAACCAGCTTTACTAATGTGGATGTTGTTGTCCTATTTAAAAAATATATATTTTTATATTACTCAAAATATAAAGTTTTTAAAAAAATTTCTTTTCCTGCCATAAGTTCATAACCAACTTTATGAAAAGCTATAGTCAATCCAAATATACCAAAGAAAATATAAAAATTTGAGTTTTAAATCTCTTGCATTGACTTTAAGATTAGTGCAATATAAATTTCTGTTAATCTTAAAGTAAAACTAATGATTTTGAAGTATTTATTGATATAATATATTATATATAATTAGAATAAATAATGCTAATTTAAATTTAATTAGAACAAAATTTTAACAATTTAATTTATTTTGAGATAATGAAAACATAAAAATTGATTGAATAATCTTGTATTTCACACATCTCAAAAGTAAAATTAATGACTAAAAATTACACGCACTCTTATTGAAATTAGAATCAAAATCAAACACTAAAACTTATTACTAAAATTTTTTCCTTTAGCATATTTTATTAAGAGATAGGCATCGTGTCAAAAGTCAAAACAATATTTAAGAAGTTTATGCTGTGAATTAATACACTTCAACAATCCATTATCGTAAGCAATCTTATTGAGGATTCTCTTTATGGCCTAATGTTTGGACACGTACGTGCTTAATTACATAATTATTCTGCAGCTTATATTTACTTTTCATTCAATCTTTATAAATAAAATTGATTGTTCTTTCACTTTTATTTATTTCATCAATACTTACTTTCTAAAGAATCATGAAAGATAGTTTGCAAGGTAAAAATATTTATTTCTAAATCTTATTAAGATGGTTAGATTCAGAGACGAATCTAAGAAGAGCTCAGAATAGACAATTACTCGTCCAAAAAATAATTTATCAGCCTATAAACATCATAACTATTCCCCTTCCCCATTAATTGTTCATCCCTTTTTTTCCCTTAATAGAATAAAGCATCATAACTATGAAAATTTTCACCTTCAAGAAAAATTTTGGCTGCTCCTATCCCAGAAAACTCATTAATTTTATATGCTACAACTTTAGAAGAAATCTTAAGAGATAAATACATTTGCCTAAAATCTTAAAAAAAAAAATCTTTTGTATTTCACATCGAAATTATGTATCTCAATTCTATTTTGCTAACTCTTAAAAGAGGAGCTGATTCTAGTCTTCTATTTTGAATTTTGATCACGAGCTCTGGACATTGATTTTTTTCCATTATATTATAACAATATATGTTTTTTTAATTAAAAAATAATTCTACAAGATAATAATTAATTAAGATAAGTATTTTATAAAATTAAAAAATAATATCTTATTAAATAGCTAGCAAGATATCTCTCACAAGTTGGAAAGAAATATCCAAAAAAACTCTAAACTTACCTAATTCTATGGGCAATTTTTTTTCCAAAACATCTAAGTAATAAACACGTTCTAATTTATTTTCAAAGACCAGAAAAATCCCTTACACAAAATCCCTACTTTACTTTCATCTCAGTAATCAGAATATTCCTTCCTCCTTTGATCTAAAAAAATTATTAAAAAATATAAAGACTTTGTGACAAAGAAGAAGCGTCTAAATCCAACCTAAGCTTTAGGATATATGACCAAAAGGCAATGAAATGACATATTTAGGAAGGATTAGATGTTTCACTAACAAAATCCATTATAATTAAGTAACTTAACAAAAACTACAAAGTTGAAAGATTAAAAAGGAGCACCATTTATCAATATGCTTTGGCTTTCTTATATTTGCAGGCTTTTTTTTTTCTTCGCCTTTCTAGATTTGCATGTGAATAATGTGGCCACAAAGAAGATGCCTAATTTCACAAAAAGAAAGATATACAAACAAGAGAAGACAAAATAAATTTAATGAAGTAATAAATAAATACATATATGAGTTAGCAGACCCTTTACCTGTTGTTGGTAGCCATTAATCGTTCTTCACCTGCATTTTAATCAAACAAGCTTTCACAATGAACTAATAATTACTTTCAATTAATATTATATCAAATACTTATAATATATGAACACTGAATCTTGAAAGTTGCAAATCAAGACTTCGCTTGCGATGACTTTATAACTGTTTTTTAAAGTAGTTTTTTAGTATAAAAATTTTTATTTTTAAATTAAAAAACTGTTTTAAGAAGCAATAAAAAAAAAGGGTAAAAAACTAAGCCTAAAGAGTTTCAAAATTCAGGTATTTTGCATCATTTACAATTCCCTTTTCACTAAATGTCAAACCTCAAAAGATGTAGGTTGGTCTTTCACATTGCTGTTTTATTCACTGCCATGGAGGTTTGGGAACAGTTGATTCAATGAAAAGTAGAAAATTTTAAAAAAAATGAATAGTAGAAATTTACATACAACCATAAAAAAAATAACAATAAGTAGCATAAATACATCCACTAGTTATTTATCCAATTTACCTCAAAGTTGTCAAAAAAAAAAAAAAAAAACCTATTTAAGTTAGCCTACATATGATATTGGTTTTTGGGCCCCTGATCCCCTTATTATTCATGAGTATCTTTCCTTTTTCTGCCTTCAACTCCACTCAATGCTGTTCCCTCGAAGCTTCTCCCTCATGTACTTAACTATCATTCTTTTTGCACACTTCCCAAACTCATAAAAAGCCTTTTTTTTTGCCCTTTTGTTTCTTTTCATTTAGGTGGAAATATGTGTGGAAGGCAGAGTTGTGGAATTGGTGTTTTGAGAGAAGTTGATAGAGAACAAGAGGAGATCAGAGATTAGAAGAGATCCACAAAATGAAGAGATTCTTTATGAACCAGTTATCTTCTTAGCTTGTGAATATCTTTTGTCAAATGTGACAGGTGAAAATATATACCAGAATTAATACTAGATATATACTTTAGGTTCTTCTCTTCTTATCATGATATTTATGTTTCTTCCTCACTTGCATCTTCTATCTTCTCGCCTTATTACGTTTGTTATCTGCTGCAGATTTTTATTGTAATTTGGTTTTTTCTGTAATGCTTTTCCTGCTGATATTATGCAGTTGCAGTTTTGACTGTAAGGAGAACATTTATATTATTTTCTATTTATATAGTATGATCAATTCTTGTTAGGTAGTCGGTAGTTAAAATAAAGTCTGAAACTCAATTTTTTCAGAGCCCACAAAATCCTGGCAAATATTCCCCTGAGAGAAAAAAAAAAGATAGATAGATAGATAGATATACGTACAGAGAAAGAAAAATATCTATTTTTTCTGTATTAATCATACAGTTCAATGAAGAGCTAAGGGAAAATATTGTGTTTTTTGTTTCAGAGAAGAGAGGCAATAATACATGAAATATCTTATGCAGTCCAAACAAGCAAGGGATCCTATTGAATGCTCATTAATTTGAACAATAATTTAGAAGTCTATATGTTTTCTATACATTCTTTTTATCTTTATTTATATTAATTGGAAGCATTCGTCTTCTTTTATGATAATCCTAACTTGCTCATTTACTAATTAATCTGAATCATTATTGAAAGCATACATGAAATAGGCCTGACTTCAAGCCTTAATACTGTTTAGTACTTCTTCATATCCTGCTATGATCTTCTACGTACTTAGTACCTCATTCCCATTATGTTAGCAATTTTTTTAGTGAGAGAGAGAGAGTTTTCTGAACGCTTCAATGAGTTAGAGAGCACAATTTTCATCTAAATAGCACCAGTTATATTTGCTCTCTTTTCTTTTCAGAAATATTGTCTACGTATCTCTAACCTATTCTATGCACATAGAACTTATAATCCTGGGGGTGGGGGTTATAAAAAATAGAACTTATAATCCTATTCACAAATATTTAATATGTCCCTAACAATTAATTCTCCTTCACAAGATAAAAACTTGAAAAAACAAAACAGACAAAAGCAAAAGGACAAGAAGGAGCATAAAGTACTGATATCTACTTTCTTCTTTCAGCAATCTGTTCTACTCAAGTGGAAAAACTACCTAGATATATTAAGTTCTCTTACACCTACTACTTACGCCCTCATCTCTCTCTTATGTTATTTTGGCAGATCAGGTCTTCTTAAGTAAGCTACGGCGTCATGCTTGACTACTCAGAACAAAAGAAGTTTGAAGACCTTCCCAATACATTCTTGCTTATCATCTCCTCATGTTAGCCATTTCTTCTCCTCCATTTGATCAAATGCTCACTTCATTCACCTCCCATGAAGAGGACCATAACCAGCTGCAACAACAACAGCAGCACCACCATCTTCTCCTCCACCCCCGGCCGGAACCCGCCTCAAACCGGTCCGTCCAATCGCATCGTCTCTTATTGCACTGTGCCGAGCTCATCCACCACGCCGACTTCGCAGCCGCCCGTCACGCCATTTCAATCCTCACCACCACCTCCTCTGCCACCGGTGATGCTGCCGACCGCCTCACCCACCACTTCACCAGTGCTCTCTCACTCCGTCTCCACCTCCTCCCTCCCTCCCCACATGATCCCAATTTCATCCTCTCCTTCAACCAACTCACCCCATTTCTCCGCTTCTCCCACCTCACTGCCAACCAAGCCATCCTCGAAGCTGTCGATGGCCACCGTTCAATCCACATTCTTGATTTCGACACCGGTCATGGCCTCCAATGGCCTCCTCTCCTCCAAGCTATCGCGGACCGCTCTCACTTCCCCAACCCGCCAACCATTCAAATCACCGGAACCGGAACCGACCCCTCTCTCCTCTCCCAAACCAGTCGCCGCCTCCAATCCTTCGCCGACTCTTTAGGCCTTTGCTTCCATTTCCACCCTCTTTGCATCTCCCCCACCACATCCTTCTCCTTCCAAGCCAACGGCGGTGAAATCCTCGCTGTGAATTGCACCATGTTTCTTCACAAGCTGATTAAGGATGATGGATTGGATGAGCTTAAACAATTCTTGCTTGCAATAAAAGGAATGAATCCGGCAGTGGTGACGGTCGCAGAAAAGGAGGCCAAGCATAGCTCTCCTTTGTTCTTGCAGAGGTTCGCCGAGGCTTTGAGCTATTACTCGGCGGTGTTCGAGTCATTGGAGGCAACATTGCCGCCCTCAAGTAGAGAGAGAATGGTGGTGGAGAAGATGTGGATAGGGAGGGAGATTGAAGATATTGTTGCAGGGGAAGGAGAAGGGAGGAAGGAGAGGCATGAGAGATTTGAAAGGTGGGAAAACTTGATGAAGAATGCTGGGTTTCTTATAAAGCCATTGAGCTATTTTGCTTTGGCACAGGCAAGGTTGCTTCTTCGGCTACATTATCCATCGGAAGGATACATGGTTGAGATGATGAAGGGGTCTATGTTCTTGGGATGGAAGAGTAAGCCTCTATTTTCAGTGTCTTCTTGGTTCTAGCTAAGGCAAAGTTACAAGGAGGGTGAAGCAAGTGACATTGGTTGGTATTTTGCTCTTACATTAATACATAAATTTATAAAACTCTCGAGAAATATACATATATGTTTTTCGATCTATTTTGTGTTTTTTTTTTTTTTTATGACTTTGTTGCCATCTCAGTTTTCATATGGTACAGGTTAGATTTATTGCTGTCAAACTATACGTTTGGTGATGATTTGACTGTTTTTTTTTTTTTTTGGCTATGATGACCCAACTCTTTACATGTTTTTCATATATATTTTTAATGATTTTATATAGTAAATTTGATGTGAATAGTAAATGTATATGTATAATTTGATTTTTATGTGTGTGCACTGAGAAATTGTTCAAAACTCTAAGCAGAAAATGCCCTTTATATTTCAAGAGATTATTCTGTGTGGAGATCGGACGCAGAACATCGTCCGGAAATCAATCAGAATGTACTACGTTAGCGGTATCGAGCCACAATGCAAAGCAAAGGGATGACGTGGCGCATTTTGATTTGTCTTTGGACGACATTCAGCATCTTCACAAAATAATTAGTCCTAATATTCATCAATTTCTCTCATTTCTGATCTCGAAGATTATTTTAATTATCTTTTTTATCTAAAATTTTAAAGAAATTTAATGTATATTGAACTTAAACATATATTATTTATAGATAGTTACTCTATAATTTTATGAGTACATGTTTATCTTAATGAAATAGTTCATATTTCTATAAAATAACTTAATAATTTTGTTTTATATAGAACAAAAAATATAGCATGAACACAAATGTATCATAGGAAGCTTTAACTAAAAAAGTTTTATCTCTCACTAATGAAACTATTATATTATCAACATCATCTCTATAAAATGCAAAATAAGCTATCAGTCACACCATATTATTGCACATTAATTATGCTCTTCTTATAATCTAACTATTATTAATTAAAGATGGATTAATTAGTGCCCATATCTCTGAATCTTTTCCTTTTTACATTTGTTTAACACTATGATTTGATTCCACAATGCCCAACTGATCTATATATTATTGCAGAAATTATATTAATTCCTGCATGTTCTTGCGCTTGATTAAGATTTCTATTCTCACTAATCGCACTCGGTGGCCACTAATTAAGCATTATCTAGTTTCATATAATAAAAAATGAAAGCATGCAACTTTAATACATCTGGGAATAATAAATGCTGTATTAATATAAATTTTGTTTAGAGCATTTATTGGTTTGCTTAGTTTGTGCCTGCTGGAGGGGGGTTGGCTGCTCTTGTTTTCTGCAACAGTTGTTGCTGAAGTGCTTGTGGGTTGTCTGGGATTAGGGCCATTGCATGAGAAGGCCACTTCCTTGTTTTCTGTCGCTTGTCTCCATAGGCATGAATCATTGGGTTTCTCAACAAGAGAAGGTTTGGGGGTCAGTTTGTCCCCTTTATCTCATCCAAATAATTCCATTTGAGAATTAATGAGAAGAAGACCTGTTGTTTGGATTTTGCAGGCCTGCTGTGGACTCACATGATTCTCATATTACCTTTGGCTTCTTTGACTTCTCTTCTATTCGTATTCTATCTAGGGGTGCAACCGAGTCGAGCTGACTCGTGAGCTGACTTGGACTCGGCTTGATAACAGGCTCGACGAGTCGAACTTATCGAGTTCGCGAGTCGAGCTCGAACACGATTTATAGCTCGACGGCTTATCAAGCTCGAACAGGCTGCCGCTCGCGGGCGGGAAATCCAAATTGATGTGAGTCGTGAGTGGGAAATCCAAAACGACGAGGAGACGAACGGGAATTTCCGGAGCACGCGGATCTCGACGGCAGAAGAACTCGGGTCTCGGGACGGCGACGGCGGACGCAACTATGAGCTCGGAACGACAATGGTTATGTTCGGGACGACGACGGATGAGCTCGGGATGATATATGGATCTTGACGGCAGACGTGATAACGACCACAGGATGATGGATCTTGACGGCGAAGCTCAGGAAGACGAAGAATGAGCTCGAGACGACGATTCTTGACGGCGGACGTGACTACGAGTTCAGGACGACGGTTCTTGAGGACGAACGACCTCTGGATGATGATGGACCTTGACGACGAATGCTACGACGATGGACGGAACTCGAGATGACAGACTCGAGGAGCCGCTCGACATGAAGACGAGTCGATATCAAGCTCGGATTTTGAGCTCGACTCGAGTTCAAGCTCGAGCTCAGGTTTTAATAGTCGAGCTCAACTCAAACACCCCTTGGCTCGAGCTCAACTCGGCTCGTTTGCACTCCTAATTCTATCTAACTCATTTCTATGCAGCTGATTCCTTCTTTTGTTCTAAAAAAGAAATATTGTTTATATTTTTAATTTTTTTTCAAAAAAAGAAGGCAAAAATTATAAAATTTAATGAGGGAGAATGGTATTAACATTATATATATATATATATATATATAATAGAAATTTGTGTACAATAAAGAAGATTTTAGGGAACTTTTATTACATCTAGTGAACGTACGCTCCTCTACGTTCGGTTTTAGGCAAAAACACGCTTACAACTCGGTACAAGCATTTTTTTTGCCCAAACCGAACGTAGAGGAGCGTATGTTCACTGGATAAAATAAAAGTTCTATTTTAGGACGGGAAGGTGCATGTTCTATGCTTATAAAATCGTCATATATTGTGGCTAGCCGGTGGCCTACCTTTTCATTATCCAGAGGCCTTTTTCATACCGTTCAAAGGCCAGAGAAGCACTATTGCTGAGTATGTTGATGACTTTTCTTTACGAGACTATCATTTGATAATGTGAAGCTGGAGAAAAAGAAACTACCGGACATTTAAGCCATATTGATTAGTTTAATGCACTTGTTTGTTTTTTCACACTTCATTACTGTTTTAGGGACTTCTTAGGGAACTGCAAGCTCTGAATTTCGAACTTTAGCCTAATTAAAAGCGGGGGATTTTCTTTATTTTTTATATAAATAATAGACATGGTTGGATCTAAATTTATCTATTGATGTCATCCGCCTTAAAAGTTGGTTATTGTGTGTTAGAGCTAGAAACTTAAGCGAGGGGGTGAGTATGAGGAGTCAGGTGAGAGCTAAAGTATTTTTCTAAATATTCGCATCTTTACACTTTATATATATAACTGCCAAAAAATAAGGCTATCGTATCACTAAAATAAGTTCTTTCCCGACAATTTTAACTGCCACAAAATATGCAGCAGCGGTTTCAAAATTGTTAGATGACTGTTGTGATTACAATGTGTTGCAATGACATTTCACAATGTTTTAGGAATCAACATGATAGTTTTAGCGAGTGCTGCTTTTCGCAATGGTTTTAACTTTCACATTTCAACATTAATACATCTGAGTTTCAGAACTGTGGCGATTATAACCAAGCTCTCTTTAATGTTCAACCAAGCTCTCTTCATGTAGTGATTACATGTAAATTTATAGCTGTTTTTTTAGAGTGACATTTTGATAAATCTGATAAATTCTCAAAACACTTCATTAAATGGTCCGTATTGATTCCCTTGATCACGAGTCATTAATTCAACATTTAAGTGTCTTAACAACCATAAAGTTGAGTAATCTTTGGTTAATTGAATTTCTCTCTTTAAGATGTTCAATTCGATCATAAACATGCAAGATTCAATGATCATTTGCTCATTTAATTAATTTTACAATTTTTTTTTACCATGCTTTGAGTGTTTGATTTGAGCTTATTTGGAGTAGGATCATATCAACTCTAGTATTGATGGGTTCATCTTTTCGAGATGGTCAATTCAGCAAGAAATTTGCTAAAGTTAGAGATAATATATATGATTTTGAATTTAATTATGAAAATTTTCAATTCAAAAATTGTATTAAGATCCATTTTTTTATTATTAATTTTAACTATATTAAGATCCATGTTTGACCGAATGGATATTTGAATGACATATCAATAAGTAATTAATTTATCAAGAACAACAAGAAATTTATCTATGACATGCTTACATGCATTACCTCAAACTCATAGTAATACATTTAAATTAACAGGCCACAACTTAAATGAGAGTGTAAGAACAAACTTTTATGTTCAAACATAAGGCTAGATTTTTAAAAGGTGTGGATTACTCTTTTAATTTAGACTTCATATGAGACGGCTTTTTTATTGATTTTTAAATCAACTTTCTATTAAAAAAATTGAATTTTTTATTAAATAACTATTTTAAAAAGCAATAAAAAAGTCATTTCAAACAAAGCCTCAGTTAAAAGAACATAATGAATATTATTATGCTACTTAATGTTCTATAGCGTTATAGGTTAAATATTTTATTAATAAAAATAATTATATTAAGCAGTTAAATTTTAAAATACAAAATTAATATATAGAAATTCCGGTTTTATTAGAATCCAAAAGAATGTTTTTCAGAAAAATGTTGCCATTGAACAATCTGCATGAAATTTGGTACGATATGTCCACCTAGAACGGATGAGTTAGAACGTGGCTTGACTAGGCTCCATGTCCCTTGCTTTTGGAGATAAAAAAATTTAATAGTCATAGCTTGACGCCATTCAAATTGTTTAACAGCTTCCGTATATGATGTAGGATCGAGAATGCAATTGTAAGAATTTTGATGATGAAAAATGTTTAATCTAATTCTAGGTTTGAGCGAACATGTTTTCTATCTAGTTACCATTCGATAGGAAGGTATAACAGGTTGAGATGGTAGTTGAGATGACGCAATTTGAGTAACCTGATGAGATGAAGAGGAAGTAGAAGTAAAGGTTTGAGTAGGAATAAATACTATGTGAGGTTGTTTGCTGATTTGGTGTTCATCTAAATGAGATGATCAAATTTGTCATGGAATAGGATCGATTACACCGCTTTTGATACCATGTAGAGATATAGAAAACAACTTTTTGGATGCAAGATAGAGAAGAAGAAAAGAAATCTATTTAGATTACTATACATTGGCAAATACATAGAGGACATATGTATATATAGGTAGAGTGAGTGGCCTCTATGCAAGATAACCTATTATCTAATGCCACCTCATATCCACAATCACAATAATAATACATGATTTATTTATTTATATGCTCTAATAGATATAACTAAATATATTTATTTTAATAAATATATATTAGTATAATTTACATAGCTTAAGCTGATATACTTAAATTGATATATAAATAAATATTGAATATATATA